TTTAGTATGTTTTGATAATTATTTTTATTTTATTATTTTCCTTGATTTGAAAGTGAGACTACGAGTTAGTAAAAGCATTCATCAAGGTTTTCATAAGAGTTTAAAAAAATAGCATTAACAAAATATTATTTTTGAACATGAAACCAAGAAAAGCAAGGAAATACATACGAAATTAACAAAAAAATAAAATAAAAAGCACAAACAAGCAACTACTTTAGAAAGAAAAAAAGGTGAAAAAATTATTGTAAAAAGATAAGTAATCCTAATAATGATAAAATCTATCGGGCATAGAAATGAGAAGACCAAAACAATAGAGATAATATACATGAATGATTTTGTTGAAAAAAGAGAATAAAAAAAAAGGAAACAAATAAAAAACATAAGTAAATTTCAAGAGATAAGATTTCAATAAAACAAAAGCATGTGAATTTTTTCTTTTATCATTAGGTAAGATTACAAGAATAACTCTTGTACAACTTTCAAATAAGCTAATATGTATAAGTTAATTTGAGTAGCTTATGAAAATAAGTTAAAAATAACTTATGAAAAAAGCATAAGTTAATTCAAACACAAGTATAAGTATTTACATCATATATTATGTTAAAAATGAGCTTTTGAAACGCTAACTTGGATGGACAATAGTCAGTAAAAATCGCTCTATAATAATACACTTAAAGAGGATTTAGCGTTGAACCGTTTTCTAATGTATACTTTTGAGAGTAGTTCATAGATAATTGTTCTCTAATCTATACTTACAAGTATAGTTCTTTGTTAACGGCTTTCTAAAGTCACACTTTAGAGAGTGATTATATTATTAATCATTCTCTAAAGTTATTCTTAAATAACAGTTAATAAAGAATTTTTCTTCAAAGAACGGTTAATAGAGAATTGCTTTCTAAAGTCTTTTTTTCTCATAAATTAAAATTTTAAAATGCATAGCAATTTCTATTTTATAAATGAAGCACACTCAACTCATATCTTATGAATCTCTTTGTCTTCTTTACTCTAATAAAGTTAGTCTCTTTCACATCTATAAGTTATCTTTGTCTTCTTCGTCTTCTCTGTACTAACAAAGTTGGTCTCTTTTATATATATAAGTATCTTTCTCACAATTCTCTTTATTTTCTCTTTCTTTATTCTTCTCTTTATTATCAGTGAACTATCCACTAATTTGTTCTTTTTTTCTTTGCTTACTAGTGTTTGGTTCATGCAAATTGGACTGTTTGATTAACACTATATACAAACTCAAGTTTTAACTCATTGGCAAACAATCAATTTTAATTTGTAATAAAAATGAAAAAATTTTGAATGTCAAACATAAATTCAAATTTAAATAAAATAATAAATTAATTTTGGTTTATAATAGAAAACTCATAAAGAAAAAAAATTTAAATTTCAAATTCGCAGTTTGTATTCATATTTTAGAAAGTGGTTATATGAACTGCTCTTTAAATGACATTCATTTTGAATAGCGGTGCTTATTAGAGCGGTTTGGACCACTCTCTAAAACGATGCAAAATCATTCTCTAATGACTTTTCTATTGTTATATAAAATAAGTTGTTTATTAGTTCTTCCAAACACTCCCTAAATATGATCTAATGAATTCTAAACCCTAGATCTTAACTTGTTTAGCCAATAAAAAGTAGGCTTGACATTAAAAAAAAAACTAATAAAAAGCAAGTAAAAGTTTGATAAAAGAGACTAGGTTAAAAATATCATCAATTATATATTTCTTTATGCATCACAACTTTACTATTTCTTTACTTAAGTGTTGACTTAGTAATGAACAACTTTGAACAAAAATTAGAAAATTTAGTATTCTTGTACAAGCACAATTAATCATGAAAGTACATCATAATTGCTCATTTGAATAAGTAATCTTTTATTAAGAAGAGTCATGACAAAATAAAGCTATTGTAGAGCAAGTGATTATATAAATAGTAAATTTAACATTATCGTTATATGTATGTAATAAAACTTGTAATATAATGTTCATGAATTAACACATTGCATTCAAAAAGGTTTTTTATTCTTTTAGCGACTAGCATTACACAAAAACTTCACTCTATTAATTATACTACGTACCCTGTTGTGAATAACATATATAATTATTGCTATGATCATATAAATAAATTAAAAAAAATTAGCATGTTTAAAGAATTAAAAACGAGAGAAAATTGATACATAATATTTTTATAATAGTTCTTCCTAATAAGTACAAATATTATTTTTTATAGACATCTTTAGGCATAAAATTCAGTATTATTTCTATAAGTCTCTATAAGTTTTTTACACAAGTTTTATTCTTAAAAAATCTTTTATTACTAAAAATATGCTTATTACATAAGAATTTTATAGACAAATTTTTTTCATCTATATTACAAATAGATTTACAAACGATTAATATAGACAACAACTCAAAAAAATATTTTTTTTTTAAGAAATCTGAATGTAATACAAACTAAAAAAAAATTGTTTGTAATAATTCTATCAGTTGGCACATAATATCACAAACATAAATTTTGGATGAAAATTTTTGTTTGTAATTTGATACTGAATCGAAATTTTTTTAACATAAATTACAAAAAAAAATATGTTTGTAATTTGAAATTTTTTTTTTTGGACTTTTCATATAGCTTGTTACAAATAGTTTTCTCACTTTGTAATTGCATTTAGTTAATTTTCAGGCGGATAAATCTAAACTTGTAATATGCTAATTAAACTAATTACAGATGAAAAAAATTTATCTATAATGTGTGAAACATATCAAAATCGCGCATTCTCCTTCTTCTTTCTCAGTTTTCATAATTTATTGTCTTTTTTCCTCTCTCTAACATCTTTAGTTCTTTGATTAGTGTGAGTAGTTGGAGCATCTATTTGGAAAACAATTTATATCATTGTGTTATTTTATTTGATTTTTTTTAAATTTTTGATATATATTAAAGACTTATGATTTTTAAGATAAAATTGTAAAACTGGAGATTGTATGACTGAAAGATAAGCATAGAAGTCATTCTTCAAACCTGATTATTGTTTGTTGTGAGATTGTCTGTGCTTGTGAATATTATAGAATATGCATATTGTAGAGTTACAAAAGATGTACTCTACAACAGTTTAAGATTGTGATGTATATTTTATGATTTATTTATTAATACATTTTTATATAATATATAGATTATGTGCATTAGAAATGTATATTTTTCTATTAATTGTTAATATACGTGTAAAGAAATGTTCATAAATTAAAGGAGATTCAGTTGAAATTTACAATAAAATTTTGTTTAATATAAAATAAAAGATTAATACAGTATTATATTCTTGGATATTTTTATATAGTTATTTATCAAAATATTTCTTAGAAACCATTCGTATTATATACTTGTATTATGCCTAAAAGCCCTTTCAATTGGTCCGAAATCTAACTTTTTAATTAAATAAGCTTTCTCAACATTTTAGCTTGACTTATTTAGACTAGGCCATGTATAGGCATAAATGGAGTGTCATATAAATTATTTTATTTCTACTTTTTATTAACACTAAACATTATTTTCTAGCTGTGTATATTAGTAATTATGTAATTTGAAATCTACTTATTTTTAGATTATGTTTTGGACACTTTACGTGATAATTTTTTAAAATAATTCTTTATAATCCCAATCATTGAGTAATGTGATATTATTTTAATGATTATTCGACACATTTTTAAAAAATTATATAGTCATAGATATATAATATTATAGTTGATATGTTTGTAAAGTATGTATTAAAATAAATTTCACTTATGAAGTATTATATATATAATTTATGAGATTTTATAAGTATGTTTTGCTTATTGAAAACTCTTAAATCAATAGTTAAATTAATAAAATTTAATATTAATAAAAATTAAATTAAATAAGTTTTTATTAGTTATTTTTGGAGTATATAAATCCCTTCTCATATTATACAAATATGGCTCCCTAAAATCTTTTTTAATATAATAAAATTTTATGTTTTATTTTATTATTCATACACACATAATTTTAAATAATATAAAACAAAACCAACTAAAATCAGGTTTATTTTTAATTATGATATATCTGATCATGTTTTAAATAGATTTTATTTTACACTTGTGAGTAAAAAGAAATTTTAATTTGTCCAATTAAAACCATATATAATTCATTGACAATTAAGAAAATATATACAAATTAAGATATATGCTTTAAATTTATCTTTTTTTTTAAAAAAATAAAAATGATTTATTTAACTTATATGTACCCTTCTAAGACATGTTTTAGCTTACAAGAAGATATATAGTAATTGTACGAAAATACTATTAATATAAAGACATGACAGAAAATAAGAAAAAAATTGATATTGATGTTTCAAAAGTCAATTTTAAATTTTCTAAATATCATAAAATATTATGAGTGATCCTATCATGTTTAATATAATGTAAAAATATAAATCTTAAACTAAAGCACAAAATTGATATTGGATGCATAAAATCTTTGGTAAAAAAGTAATTTATCATTTAAAAAGTAACTAAAAGCATAAAAGAATTCTACCAAGCATCCCACATAATACATAGATATAAGAGTAGTAATTTTGAATTATCAATTCATTCCTATATCATGGAAAAGAGCAGGACTATAGAGAACATATGGGTCCTTGTTAAGGAGAGTCACGATTGTGGGGTCCACCGTCCCCCTTCTTAAAAGTATCAACGATGGAATAGAACCACCCACTCCTCCTTCTCCTCTCTCTCTCTCGTATTCTCTTATCAATTTTCGTTTTTTCATTTTCTTTTTTTTTTTTACTCTAATTTTCTATTTGCCAATTCTCTCTTATCCACCCTGGCATCTTCGTCCGTACTCTGTCCCTTTCCTCTTTCACCGGCTACCGACCCAACCGGTCACCCTCCCGCACGTGTCTAACTCCATCACACGTGCCGCCCCCACCCATACAACACCCTCCTTTCCGTGGTGCAACAAACAAATAAAAAGCGAGACAGGAACCCAACCCAGAGGAGCAAAAAGCATATATGGAGAGAGAGAGTGTGTGCGTGGGTGTGTTTGCTAGAGAGATAAGAGAGTTTGATAAACTCACAAAAAATTATGATTTTTTTTCCTTAGTCTTTAGGGGCATGAAGTAGATGGGTATATAGTGTTCACCCCCTTTTTTTTTTTCTTTTTTCTCTCTCTTTTTAAGTATTATTATCATTATTATTATTATTTTCTATCCTTATTTTCCCCGAAATCTGAACTACGATCGTTTCTGGGGTGTGAGAGTTTCGAAGTGTTTTGTGAGGGTATCTAGTGAGTTAGAACAAGTTGCATCTTGCACCTATGAGGATCCGAAATAGGCAAGTGCCTTTCCCTCTCTTGCCGGTGATTCACTCAGATCCCAACCTGATCAACCGGTCACCGGTGATGGTGCAACTCAACGAGGCTACCACCAGCTCACCTAAACCTTCTTGCACTCATGGGTTGGCTATTGCACCGTTGCCCCTCTTGGATCGTCCTCAGCCATCTGATCAGCCACTCCCACCGATCGGGAAAGCAACCAACGGCTGTGATGATTCCACCGGAGAAGGTGGGACTCACAGGAGGCACCACAGGAAGCAAGAACCTTTGGTTAGTGAAACTATTTCACACGAATCATTTTATTTTTCTTTCGGTTGATTTATTTCTCGAGATTTCAAGGTGTGAGTTTGTAGATTAGTGCACCTTTGTCCAGGCTTTGACATGGGGTTGGTGTAAATTAAAATTATTATTATCATTATTATTATCATTATTATTTTTATTTTTATTTTACACTCACAAAGGGGCACATTAGGGGTTACCAACCATGTATTAGTGAATCCTATGTATGTATTTTTTTTGTATGTGTCTTATTTGCAGGTGGAAGATGGGAGATGGGAAGAGGGAGGGGGACAGAAGGGTAATGATACCAGGTAAGAATGAAACCAAGCTAAACATGAATTTTAGAAAAAAGAAAGACATGAAATTATTTGTTTTCTTATTCGTTCATGAAATCTTGTAGTAAAAAAAGGTGAAAACATGGAGACCCATAACTTGATTTTAACCGGCATGGAAAAAGAAATCAATTTTCTTAGAAAATTATTTATTGTTTAATAAAAATATAAAAAGAAAAAGAAAATACTGTTAGTGGAAATACTGTTGAAAGTGTTTTAAATAAGCGCCTTGTGTAGCCACCATACCCTCTTGTGAAAGGCGATCGTTTTTTTCTCCAAATTGGCTAACTACCGTTTGCCCTTGAGGTGCACAAGCTGGTAGAACCAAATGCTGGTCCCCAACTACATCACATCCATCTAACTCTTTCAAAAATATTACATTCCTTCGTTTTTTCATCCTTTCCCTTTTGGCTGTAAATTTTCTGTGTGTGTGTGTGTGTGTGTGGTTTGCATATATATGCGGTTGTTAATTGGTCTTCACAGGTCTTCTTTTGTTTGTAGGAAAGGAAACATCTCTTGTTCAGAAACGCCAGCTGAGGCATTTTCACCGTCAAGCCCTTCTAAACAAGGTAAAGAAAATGCATTTTCTATTGGAACAATGCATAAATTTACAATTACTATTACATATACTCGATCAGTTTCAACACCTATTTAATACCTTCCATCCTTTTCTATTTATCGTTTCATATTGCATTATATCAGTTATCATATCTCTCTCTTCTCTCTCTTTTGTGTGCATGAGTGTCTGTAAATCATTTCCCATTACCCCATCACTCCCCAGTGTTGACTAACATGAATTTTTCACACTCAATTTTTACACCCAAGTTACACCCTTCTTCGTTTATCTCTTTCTTTTTCACAACATTTATCATTTTATCTCTTTTGTTTTCTTAATTTTCTCTTCTGTAAAGGTTATAAACGCCCTTGATATATAAAATATCATTTCATAGTATACATGTACGCACGCAGATGGTCGATGGTGTGAGGGAGAGAAAGCTTTTCCACTCAAGAAACGAAGAGGGAGCTTGGAAAATGCCACAGAGGACAATAACAACGACGACAATAACAACAATAATAGGAAGAAGATGAAGATGAAGAACAAGATGAAGACGAAGATGAACAAGAAATGTTTGGTGCAAGATGATAGCAATGAAGCGGAAGAAGAAGAGGAGGAGGAGGAAGAAGTGAAGGAAGAAGAGGTAATGAGAGAAACAAAACCTGAAGTGAACGTTGGTAAGAAGAGGGTAAGGGGTAGTGCACTAATGGAAGGTTCAAGGTGCAGTCGTGTTAATGGGAGAGGATGGAGGTGTTGTCAACAAACCTTAGTGGGTTACTCTCTTTGTGAACATCACTTAGGAAAGGGAAGGTTGAGAAGCATGACAAGTGTGAGAAACAAGTCTATTGGAACAACCAGTGGTGCACCAAAGAACATGGCACTAGTATCCGAGCCTTCATCTCAAAAACAAACAACAAAGTGTAGTAGTGTCAACTATGATCCCATGGACAATGATGGTGAAGACAAAGATGAGAAGAAGCCACTAATGGTCACAAAGAAGAGGATGAAGCTTGGAATGGTGAAAGCACGATCCATTAGCAGCTTGCTGGGACAAACCAACGATGAAATTGTTGCCATAGCTGAGGATATTAACAAGTAAGGCAAAAAAAACTATATGCACAATTTGCTGTTATTTCATGTATAACTTTTTGAAAAAAATTTAATAATGGACCTTGTGTTTAACGTACTTGGGTGCAACTTCTTCCGATCAAACTAGCAATGGTGGTTCTTTGATTTCTTATTTCCATGTGTTTTCTATGTTAACGTTTTCTTGTTCATGTTTTTTGTGGAGAGTGTTCTTATATATTTATATTTTTTTTCCTTCTATCTTCCCCTGCGACAGTTATGAGATTATTATTTAAGTATATTGAACTGGGCACGATCTGATTTTGCAGTCAAATGAAATATTTATACACAACTTGATTAGATTATCTAGTAGAGTTTATATACTTTGGTGGACTCGATCATGGTCACCGCGTCTTCTTTGACTAACGAAACATCTTGAACTCCACCACGTGATGAAGTGTTATTACCCAAGATGAGATGCAAATAAATAACTCATTATGATTTGGGTGATTAATTGTGTGGTTTGATCGTCAAGCCGGCCATGCACACATGGACATGGTGTTCGCAATTTCGATCACTTTCGTTCACATAATGAAGAATTTACATGTACTAGTGATGAGTTTCTTGAATACTCCTTGAGTATAATTTCTTGAAGATTTTAAAAAAACATGTTATTATTTTACAATAAAATTACAAAATAATTTTCTTATTATCAATAAAATATATTATATTAAATATGACTAAATTAAAAAATACTTTTTAAATTAACTAAAGTATAAAAATTAAAATTAATTTTAAAATTAAATGTTATAAATGATAAAAAAATTCTTTTAAAATATATTAGTTTTTTTTAAAAAAATTATTAAATGTTAATATTTAAAATTGAGAACTCGGATTTAATATCTAAAAGTAAATTTGTAGATTATGAGTTGAAGAAAATTGTTGTCTTTAATGATTATCTCATCAAGGTTATAAAAAAATTTTAAAAGCAAATTATGTATATAGGTTGTCTTTAATGCCACAATGGTATTATCCCATGCATTTAGACTGTATTTATTGTTGCATATTAGTAGTCTACAATGAGGATGATATGTGATTGACATCATCGAAGTCGAAAATGTATTCACTATATAATTATTAATAAATAATTTATAAACTAATAATAGCATGACCTTATTCATTGAGGGTTTCGTGAGGATTTTTTTTCATGGCATTTCTATGTTCGGATAATAATAGAAATTCCAAAAATTTATATGAAGCAATTGAAAACAAACTCCAAATTAATCTTTATGAGAAGGATTTCGTCCGTAATCAATATGTATTTAAAATCTATAAATGCGTACTCAATGCTAAAGTTATAACTAGTAACATTAAAATAAATATAAATTTATATACATATGAGAGGTATTTTAAGTGAGAGGTGAGAAATATTAATAATGATAATTAACAAAAGAGAGAAGAAAGTAAATAGTGAGGTAGCAACAATTAAATTTAAGCTTTTTATTTTAATCCAATAGTCATTATTAATATCTCTTACTTCTCATAATAATAAATTCCTCTCACTTAAAATATCTCTTATATATATTTGAATATAAAATTAAATACGAAATGAAAATTTAAAAAAAATTAAGTGAAAAAGAAATAAAAAACCATCAAGACGTAAGAAAATAATGTTATTTATATATTTTTCCCATGGGGCTTTTATTATTCTGTATCATATAGTTTATCATAAGCTAATTCAAAATATGGTGTGTGATTTGTCAAAGAATTAACAATTAATTTTTATTTGATTTTTTTTTTAATTAGCAATACATAAGTTGATATATATAAAAGTGGAAACGAATGGACAACATACAGCTGCGGATCCAATCAGGAAGGTATAATTCTTCCTTGGCTTATGCTTTTAATGTAAAGCATGCTGTTGACCCAATGATACGTAAAGATGATGTTAATCCATTAATTAATTAAACAAATCACATAGGTTTAACACTATACGTGCTTTAATTTCGCTGTAATTTCTAAGGATAAAAAGGTTGAGGACTTGATCACTTAAAATGTGTCAATTTCAGCATCATTAATGCAGACCCTACAAGGAGCACTTTAGCAGTGCCTGGTAGTACAGTAGCAATTTCTCTGTCGTCATCACGCAGACTGCAGAATTTTCAGCAAATCTAGCTAGATCAATAAAGCTTTTGTTTGGTCAATGTTTAGATGGCACAATAATATGGAGCATATAATTTAATAGGAAAACATTGATTAATTTTTTAAGATATTAATTAAAGAATTAATAATGATATTTTACAAAAAAGTGTAATAATATATTTACTCTGTAATTTTTACTGCATTCATAAAGCTATTTTAAACAAAACATATTATTTACAATTTTGAATTAGTGTCTTAAAAATACTGATTAACAAAACTTAATTCAATATAATACTCATGTTTTATTCATAATAATGTTTTTATTGACAATTGAGTTAGGAGAATACTTAGACACGTACATAATAGATATAAAATCAGCTATTTGATGATGACATGATAAAAAGAAATGTTCAATCTTTTATTCCTTGGATTTCTCTGCTGGCCGTCCTATTAAGTTTCATAACCTCAACAACTAGAGAAATCTCTAAATCTATGTTTTTCCGCTTATAAAAGTGCATGCATTCGCATGATGCCCATGGAAAACTTTGGTGGTTCCATCTCTTTCAAATAGTTGCCTTGGAATCAATGGAACCTTTTAAGGCTATTGAAGGCGATGGAGTTGATGGGCTACATTTTTTTTATGACAGCTAATGAGGATTTCATTATTTATTTTTTTCAGTGGTTCATTAGTGTGTATTTATGTATACTCGTGTACTATTCCATTGTCCTAGAGCCAGCAAAACAAAATCCAAGTTAAGCTAGCTCTTCGACTATGGATTAAACGAAACATATGTGCACTTTATCTAGCTAGCTTGCATTGTTTTAATTTACATAAGCTTCATAATCATAATTATGTTGCTCCATGGAGCTTCTTATCCTATATATGGATTTTTGTTGTTTTATTTGTGTTTTGAGGTGCAAGAGAAGGTGTAACGGTGTACTGCGCGAATTGCATGAAGCTCACTTCGAGTTAAGGGGGTGTTCAAAATATATATATGGTGGTGCAATATTAAAAGGCAAGGAAGACACTTTGACCAGTAGTGTGTCTACTGTCACTCACAAAAATAAAAAATTTATGTAAAAGATTTTTATTATTAATATTATTATAAGAAAAAGAAGATATTTTGAATATAATTATTTGAATAAGAGCAGAAATAAACAGTTAAAATATCAGATACCCCATGTTGATGCTTAAAACACAGGATTGTAGTTCAGCTTTTTACATTTTTCCTCTTAGTTTTGGAGCCTTTTGCCTAAGAGTATAGAAAGAAAAGTAAATGAGTGACAAAAAATAGGACATAGCTCAAATTGGCTCTATCCGCATATTAAAAATAAATAAGAATATATTCTTTGATGAAAACGAAAATTCAGTTTTGCAAAGGTACCATTCAATTTAATATATTTTCTGTAGGGAGAAAAGTATCATAATGGTTTTCATTTCTGAGGTTGAGCCATTATATGTGAGAGAGATTCTTCACGATGGAGACGGTTTGGATGGAGACCCTATCCCAGCACCACTCCTCAGGAGTCATGCGCTCCACCCAATTGCTTGGGAAGTCACAACTCACAACCTACAATGGTGAAATAACAAATATATATATATATATAATAATATTAAGTTTTATAGTTTTTAATAGAAAAATTATTTCTATTTTATTTCTTGCTGTATATTCTTAAACAAACTTTTAAAAATCGATATACAAAATCGTAAGGAGAACTTGAGAGAAAACATTTATTATATATCTTTATAGCTTGGTTCCTCATGCCCCAGTTCCAATACTTTCTTTTCTTGGACTTTCTTCAAAGTTCCAATACTTACTAGCTACCCTTCATGTCTTATAAAGAACTTAAATAAATTAATAATCTTGAAGTTGTTTTCCCATACAGAGGTTTAGTCTGTGTTTCGGGTAGGATTATTTTTGTGAATTATGTGAAAATATATTTTTTTAAAAATACTATTATTTTTATTTAAAAAATTTAAATTTTTACAAAAGAAATAACTTATTTAAGATATGCAAATTTTTAGAGTTTATAATTAAAAGCTACCAATTTTTTTTAATTAAGTTTTATTTTTTACTTTTGTTTTTGTTTAGATTTCATGTATTGTCTATTGGAGGATTCCTCTTCGAGTCAAATAGGACTATTATGGTAGCAAAATTCTTCCTCCAAGTATTTAATTCAGTTGCAAAGACTCGAATTTAATATCACAGGTTAAGGTAGCAAAATTCCTACTAGTTGATTTATGTGTTTGATGATTTTATTTTATTTTTATTTTATCTTTGACAATAGATTATTTTGATAATTTTATTAATCTCAATCTTTAAGATTTTTTTAAATAAATAAAATAAAATTATTATTTAAAATAATAATTTTTTATATATATTCAATGTAATAAATATTTTTTATTAAAAAGTTTTCACTTTTATTTACTTAACATTAGTCTTAATGATAATTTTTCTTTATTGTAAATACAAAACTAACTATTTCATATCCCTTTTTTAATCTTATGCTAAAAACATAAATTTTTTATTACAATCCAAATATAATAAACTATTTTTAAATCAATTTTCACTTAACACTTTTAAATATAAAATTTATTTTATATAACAAATCATTACAATAGTAAAATTATAAATATAATCAAATTTTAAAATGACAGTTTTTCCTACTAGTCCTAATGCACACTTAACCACATGAAGCACAAAACATCGATATTAAATAATAAATAAAAAAAAGCCTTATGCTGTCACGTGATGACTCAACTCAAGAGCAGGTCCTAAGTACCGCGAAAAGCTGCTTTATATAGTTTCAATATGTTCAAATATGTGTTACTTACAAGTCTTGTCGATAAATATAACATTGTTTAAGAAATAAATAAATAAAATTATTAAAAATTACAGTGAGTATTTTTCACTCTTCAACTAATATTTTTAAAATATTTATTAACATTTTTTTGGGGGGTGTTCGACATATATCTTCTATAAAATGCAATCTGGTCGAACATTAAATGTGGACGTCTTTTAAGTATTTTGTTGCAACTAGTTTCTTCTGCGAAACTAACTCCCTATTAACAAATATATACTCACTATATATTACTTCCATCATAATTTTAAATTTATGTGCACTAATGTAATTTTAAACTTTCGAATCCTCAGCAATTATGTTAAAATTTTAACTCTATACGACAAAATCGGCTGCATTTGTTCTCAAAATTCTCCAAATTTACAAGCCACTGTGTCAATAAAACCGTAATTTCAATTGAAAACAATT